TGACGTAGGAGGCTTGCAGAGGCTCAATAATGCTCTGGCGTGTATACGGGTTCTGGGAGATACGGTGTTGTAGAAAGAGGAGGAAGAGGAGTAGGAGGAGGAGGAGGAAGACGACGACCACGACCACGACCACGACCACAACGACGGACGACAACGAACGACGACAGCGAAGACGCGTAAGAGGACGAGGAGGCCTCCTCTTCCTCCTCGTCCCCGTCAGCCCCCTCATCCGCCTCATCCTCATCCGCCTCCTCATCCCCCATATCTTACCATCACTCATTTGGATGATTTTTTGGAATTCACGTCGTGCCGACCCCCGGCGCGCGAGAGTCGCCTCCCAGCGCACTCCCAGGGCACATCTCCAGCGATGCACTGAGCGCGCCGGGCGTGACCCAACCCGTCGCCCTCGCGAGACACATCCTCGCTAAACCCGCCCCACGGGCCCCCGGGCGCGCCCCCCACGAACCGGTTCGGGGGATGCACTGGGCGCTGAGCGCCCGGCGTGTCCCAATCTCACGCGCTCTCGCTCTCCTCGCCAGTACCCTCCTGCGCCACGGGCCCCCCGGCGCGCCCCCAGAGACCAGTGCTTGGGAGGCACCAGGCGTGTCCCAATGCAGCGCCCTCGCTCAATCAAAGCATCCTCGCAAAAGCGCTCCGAGGGACACATTTCTGGGCATGCACTGGGCGCGCCGGTCTGGGCGTGTCCCAATTTGGCATTCGAGGTATTCTCGTAAAACTCGCTCCCTGCCCCCCCAGCGCGCCCCCCCTGCAGGGGACCATTTCGGGGGATGCACCTGGCGCGCCGGGCGTGTCCCAATCCGTCGCCCTCGCGCCAGAGACATCCCTTCGCCAAAATCGGCGCACGTGCCCCAGGCGCGCCCCTCGGGACCATTTCGGGGGATGCAGCGGGCGCGCCAGGCGTGTCCCAATCCGTCGCCCTCTCGCTCGACATCCGCGCAAAAATCGCCCCACGGGACCCCAGTGCGCCTTCAGGGCCGTTTCCGGGGATGCACCGGGCGCGCCAGGCGTGTCCCAATCCAGCGCTCTCGCTGGAGACATCCTTTCGCCAAAATCGCCCCAGGCGCCCTTGGCTCGCCCCTCGGGATCATTTCCGGGAATGTGCCAGGCGCGCCAGGATTCTCCCAATCCGGCGCGCCTTGGCATTTTCTCCGCCTTCTTTCCCGCAGTCGTCGTACGCGCGCGTTTAGTCCTCGTGGTCATCGACATCTTGATCCTCGACGTCCTCTTCCGCACCCTCCTGGTCCTGACTGCCCTCATCCCGCCCTCCTGATCCTCACCCTCCTGATCACCACCCTCCTGTTCATCACCCTTCTGATCCTCATCTCCATGATGATCACTCTCCTGGTTCTCGCTCTCCTCACCTTCACCCTCCTGCCTCACGATCCCGATCCTTACCCTCCTCATGCTCATTCTCATTATCCTGATTCTCGCTCTCCTCGTGATGATCACTCTGCCGATCCTCACTCTGCTGAGCCTCCTTCCCCTGCTCCACGCTTGCCCGATCCTCACCCTGCTGATCTTCATTCTTCGCATCCTCGCTCTCCTGGTCCTCATTCTCGACATCCTCACTCTCCTGATCCTCACCCGCGGCACCACCGTTTCCCGCTGATTTACCGCTCGTGCACGCTCCCTCTTCTATGCACAGAAACTCCCGATCAACCGCAGAGCGGCCGGCTGGCTAGTATGATTTTCCAAACAGGGTTTGCACTGAGGGACCCTCCTTTTGTCCTACACAGGACTTGGATGAGTATGTCGAGGATTCACATCGTTGCCGCCTGATGCCGCCTCGTTGCCGCCTGGTGCGGGCGAACGGCGGGTGGAGGGCGGAGGGCGGAGGATGGAGGGCGGAGGATGGTGGAGGGTGGTGGGTGGAGGGTGGAGGGTGGAGGATGGAGGGCGGAGGGTGGTGGAGGGTGGTGGAGGGTGGAGGGTGGAGCAGTTACCGTTTTGACACCGGGGCGCCCCTGCCCACGGGCTTCGGGGTTGGGCGGGGATGAGGCTTTGACCGCGGGGCCCCACGGAGAGAGCGATGCGGGCGGGCGGCGGAGGTAGGTCTCTCCGTTGACAGTGGGGCGCCTTTGTCAAACAGCTTCGGACCCAGGAGGGAATGCGAGCTTGACGCTGTTGGCGGGCTCGTCTTCCAGCGCCACCACCATGAGTAGGAGGGGGAGGAGGTCCTCCTCCTCCGCTTCGTCCTCCTCGTCTTTCCCCTCCTGCCCCCCTCCAACTGCTGGTGGTGGTGGTGGGAAACAGGCCCATCAGTTGTGGCCTTTGTGGGCCCCGGAAACGGCAGGGCCGTTTTTGTCACCGTTTCCAAAAAAATGTCCCATGAAAATGGAAACGGCAACAACAACAAAAACGGCGACCGGAAACGGCAAAAAAACGGCTCCAGGATTGGAACCGAAGCCGGAACCGGTCAAGAAACGGCGACGGAACCGGTAACAAAAACGGCGTCGGAACCGGCAACAAAAACGGCAAAAGGGAACCGGTAAAAAAACGGCCCTGTCGTTTCCAGGGCCCACTAAGGTTGTGCATGGCCCCACTGTCAACGCGCTGAGGCGGGGGGCGGGAGGCCCGGCTTCGGGGCCAGGCAGAAGTCTGCGTTTGGACAGCGGGGAGCCCCAGGGTCCGAGCGAGGCGGGCGGCGGGCGGCGGAGGGCTCCGCGTGGGCGGGGGGCCCCGCGGTCCGCTGGCGCCGGGCCCCGGCGGGAGGCCGCAGCTGGCAGGGGGGCCCCTCTGTCAACGCGTGGAGGGGGAGCCGCCTCCTCCTCCTCGATCCTCCTGCTCCTCCTCCTCCTCTTCCTGCTCCTCCTCCTCCTCATCCTGCTTCTCCTCCTCCTCCTCCTCCTCCTCCTCCTGCTCCTCCTCCTCCTCCTCGATCCTCCTGCTTCTTCTCCTCCTCTTCCTGCTCCTCCTCCTGCTCCTCCTCCTCCTCCTGCTTCTCCTCCTCCTCCTCCTCCTCCTCCTCCTCCTCCTCCCGGCGCTTGCCCGGGTGAGCCCGGGAACTTCTTGTCGACAGCGGGGCCCCACTGTCAAATGGGCATGGTCGGCTGGAGCAGGAATATGACTTTGACAGCGAGGTCCCACTGTCAACAGGGAAATTCAACCCCCGAATCCGCCTGGCAAGGGCAGACGCCTCCTTGGCCGTTGCGCTAGCACTGCAGCCGATGTGTCGTAGAGGCACGGCGCTTCAGTTCAGAATCCGCCTGCTGACACTGGGGTCCAACTGTCAAATGGTCATGGGTGGACGAGGTGGGAATGTGCTGTTTGACAGCGGGGCCCTACTGTCAATGATCCGTCCAGGGCCAAGAGGGGGGGGTCGAAATTGTTTCACACGCCTGGAGACTCACAAAGGGTCGGCGGATGAATGTTGCACTTCTGGAAGACGACCGTCTGAGAATCCTCAATCGTGCCAGCACACCGCTTCCTGGACTTCGTGGCCGCGAATATTCAAATCCAATGTTACGCTGCGACGGTCCCTCATCGCGCCAGAACACCGCTCCTGGGATTTCAGCACCGCGAGTCGACGTGACTGCTGCGACCTGGCAGCCCTAAATCTCGCGCTGGAGAACCATTTTTGCCGTGGGCAAACACAAGAATCCGTCTACTTGTTCTAAGCGATTTAGTTCCCGCGGCGCTCAGGCGAGAACAGTATTGTGAAAAATGGTTGTGCCCCAGTCGTGAAACTTCGTACGAGTTGTTCAGACGCGTGCGCGCGGCGCCAATTCACGCGAAAGCAACAGCATGAAAACCACTTCCCCTCCACCCGTGAAGCCCACGACGATGTCCAGGAGGAAAAACACACACACAGGCACAATTCATCGTCGATTCCCAGGAAAATATTGGAAAATATGGGAAGTGGGGGGGAGACAAAAAGCCAGACAATGTAGGAAAATATGGGGAATAGTCTTATTTGTGTATTTGTTTGTGTGTCTCAGGGCCCCTTCATACAATGCTTTAAGACGAGTGTGCCGGGCGCTCAGGCTAGAGCCGCATGTTGAGAATTGCCCGCCCTCAGTGTGCGGCGTGAGCGCAGACATTTCAGATACACGTGCGCGGCACTAAGGCGAGAGCCACATTCGAACAGCGACCTGCTCTCCATCCACGAAGCCCTTGCCACCTTTTAAGACGTCTGTGCGCGGCGCCGGTGCGAGAGCCACGTTTTGAAAAAGAGCCGCACTCCATCCGCGAAACTATTGCGACGTGTCACGACGAATGAGCGCGGCGTCGAGGCGAGAGCCACAATTTGAAAACCACCCGCCCTCCACCCGTGAAGTTGCTGCAAACGTTTACGACGAATGTGCACGGCGCCCACACCAGAGCCTTCAGGTATTGAAAACCTGCCGCCCTCCACCCGCGAAACTCCTCAAACTTTTTACACTAGTGTGCGCGGTGCGAAGGCGACAGCCACATTTTGAAAACGATTATCATTGCTGCAAGTTGTAAGTTTCATGACCCTGCATTGTCAGGAAGCCTTGGGCGAAACGCCCGGCCCGCCCTACCGACACCTCTCGGTGTGCGGCAGGGGGGAGTTAGGTAGAAGGAACAAGGGAGGAGGAAGGGTAGCGAGGAGGAGTGAGAGGAGCGAGGAGGAGCAGGTGGAGGAGGAGCGAGGAGGGAGCAGGAGGCGTAGCGAGGAGAAGGAGCAGGTGGAGGAGGAGCGAGGTCGAGACAGCAGCAGCCCGACGACAGCGACGACGAGACGACGATGACGACGACGACGACGACGACGACGACGACGACGACGACGACGACGACGACGACGACGACGACGGCGGCGGCGGCGGCGGCGACGGCGACGGCGACGACGACGACGGCGGCGGCGGCGACGACGGCGACGGCGACGACGACGACGACGACGACGACGACGACGACGACGACGACGACGGCGGCGGCGGCGGCGACGGCGACGGCGACGACGACGACGGCGGCGGCGGCGACGACGGCGACGGCGACGACGACGACGACCAGCCTGCGCAGGCGACGCCGATCGGCTCCCCGCGGGAGCGGCCGGGCACTCTGCCGTTGTCCGAGTGGGCGCCCGCGGCCTCGCCGCCGGCCGCGGTGCGGCGCCCGGCGTTCATGCCGCCGCTGAGGGACCCCGCCCCCTCCTCCTCCTCCTCCTCCTCCTCCTCCTTCTCCTTGTCCTCCTCCTCCTCCTCCTCCTCCTCCTCCTCCTCCTTCTCCTTGTCCTCCCCCTCCCCCCTCCTCGTCCTCCTCCTCCTCCTTCCTCCTCCTCCTCCTCCGGACTGGCCCGTCGCGCGTCGACCGCGAGATCTCTGGAGATCCTCGAGCTGCCATGTGTCCACAACGAGTGCTGTCGCCTGGTTTCGCCGCTGGAGGCCTCCTGGTGGGCCCTCGTCGCCACGGCTGGATTCGCCTTGAGGGTGTGGTCAGGCAGCTCCCTGGGAGAGCTCGGGGGAGCAGCGGTTGCGGTAATGTCCAAAACCTGTTTCAACAATGATGACCCCCCCCCCAGAGCCTGACTGCAATTATTTCGCCGCCGAAAAATTATTGTTATTGAACTGTACCCCCTGGAAAATATCCCATTGAGACCGAACGATGCGATCGATACATACCTGTATGTATGTTTGTGTACATGTATATATATATATCATCTGTATATATATATATATGTATATATATGCATATATCTAAATGTGCACAATCATATGTATACACGCGCATGCACGTGCATGCATTGGTAAATGGGTCTGACCTGTATGCGTGCAATGCAGTCTACTTCGATCGACGAGTACATAGTTCTCGACAAGGACCGCGGCCACTTGGACCTTCTCGGGGCCATTTGGAGGCATCTTGGAGGCCATCTTGAGCCAGCTTGGACCATCTTGCGCCATCTTGGAGACCGTGTTAAAGCACCTGGGGCCCGCTCGAAGCCCCCTTTCCTGGGGCCCTCGCGGCACCAGATGGGGTACGCGAGGGATGGTCCCCGAATGCGGTCTCTGTCCGCGAGATGGTCGCAGGGCAAGGCTCGCACGGCGTGTTCCCGGCATCAGTGAGGGTACAGTCGGAACGTTAATTTGAGGAACCCTAAATAAGGAATGAGGCCCCTACTTTCTATAAGTTAAACTTCGACTTCCCATCGAAAACGTAAGGACAACCCGAGGCAAGCTGCGAAACACTTAAGGAACACGGAGCCCCTCCCCAACGAAAAGGGTTCCTTCTTCAGGGCCCCGACTGTATGCATGGAGTGGTCCCTCAGCGCGGTCCCGACCTGCTCCAGATCGCAGGACGCGTCGGGCGTAGCATGTTCGCGACCCAGGGAGGGATCGCAGGGCGTGGTCCCTGAGCGCACTCTCTATCGACGCCAGGGTCGCAGGGCGTGGCAGGCGTAGCCCAGCGTCAAGGGGGGGTGCGCAGGAATCTGCCCTCCGACAGCGGAGCGCCAGCGCGGTCGTTGGGCCGCCCCCTCGCGGTGAGATTCGTTTTGCCTTCCATTGGTTTATGGATGCGCAGTGCAGCGTTGGGAGTGATCATTTGTTGAACTGTCCCCCCAGATGGTTTTTAAATAACAGAGAATGATGTTAGACTTAAGTCGGGCCTGTCCCTCTACAGGAGGAAACTTCAAGAATAGTCAACAAAACATTCGGGGGACTATTTTTGACTATGTTTGAACATTTGGGGGGTATTTGTGGGGTCTCTTTTGAAATTTTCGCCCACAATCCCCCTGCAGGGGGACGTGCCCGACTCAATGTTAGACAGTATGACGTTTCTCAGGCCAAGCGTTGTCGCTTGGCCTGGCCTCGGGCTGCGCACAGGCAGCCCCCCCTCCAGGTAGTCCAAGCTGGCCCCGGTAGGCTTCCCCGAGGTAGTCCAGCTGGCCTCAGCAGGCCCCCCGAGTGGCCCCCGCTGGCCTCAGCAGGCCCCCCGAGTAGTCCCCGCTGGCCTCAAGAGGCCCCCAGGGTAGCCCACGGCAGTCTCAACAAAATGATGCTGCCCCCCAGCGGCGTTTCTGGAGCGTTCCGCGCCACCAGGTTGGGCGTCGAGACCGCTCCAGACTACTACTCGGGGGGCCTGTTGAGGCCAGCGAGGGGCTCGTTGAGGCCAGCTGGGGCTACCTTGGGGGGCTGCCTGTGCGCAACCGGAAGCCCCTCCACGCGCCGGGGCGTCCCAGGCATGTTCGCTCCACTGTTGTAAACGATCAGAAATGAAGTTGTTTGTTTGCATTGTTAGATATATGCACGTATCTGTTTATTCTAGATATAAGTGTATATATATATACATATATATATATGTATATATATGTATATATATATGTATATATACATATGTATACATATAAGGAGGACGTTGGCCGTTGTCGGCCTCACGGGGCCCTCGGCGGGCCCCAGGAGCGTCAAAAGACGACTCTGGTTGAAAAGGTTGGTCCCGACGACAGGGTTGGACCTTCCGACCGCCGCCGCGCACATCGACCCGAAGTTTCGGAGGTTGAGGATGAGGAGGAGGACTTTGGTTGAAAAGTTGGTCCCGACGAAAGGGTTGGAACTTCCGACCGCCGCCGCGCATCGACCCGAAGTTTCGGAGGTTGATCGACCTCCTCCCCTGACACGTCGATTAGCGAATACCTACCCCTACCCTAAGATTTAGCGATTTACGATGATAGACCTTCGGAGGTTGATAGACCTCCTACCCTCACCTCCTACCCTAAGTTCCGGAGGTGGATAGACCACCTCTTGGCATCGTTCGGACGTGTGCATTTTTCCATCGGCGAGGGCCATCGAGGAGCATCCTTGATCATTTCGCGAAAAAAACCACGCACGAAACCGAACAAAACACAGGAAATGGACGTCCGAGCGATGGCCAGTCCTACCCTGACACGTCGATTAGCGAGTTGGCCGTTGTTGGGTTCGCGAGAGGGCGTCGCGGCCGTCATTTTTGCAGGTCCAGGTCAGTCGGTTTCGGTCTCAGGCCGTGTTCACTAAGCGGAGGTTTACGAAAGGGAGGTTTCTCCACCGCCGAAAGTTCTTGGGAGTAGAATTTCTGCACGACGGGCGACTTCGCCTTGCGTCGGGCCCCTGGACCCAAGGGCCCCCATGAGGGCGCGAAGCTGTTCGCGATGCGCGACCGGTGTGTCCTGATCCTGGTCCAACCTACGCGCGCACTGCTTGGTCTGGCAGCAGCAGCACATCTCTACATTGACACGAGCAGAGTCCACGCATCACGCCAAACTCGCCGCATGCGCCTGCATCCATCCTGGCCATACACTGGACTCCAGCCTCGACGTCACCGACGTTTTTGTCTGCTACTCAGGCGTTGTCTCCTACCTCTGCTGAGGTTCTCTCCTACCTTTTAAGTCGGGCCTGCCCCTTTACAGGGGGAGCATTCAAAAACAGTGAAAAGAACTAGTCTGGGGACGATTGTTTGAGTATGCTTTTGGCTATGGTGGGGGCATTTTTGAGGATATGTTCAATATTTCGCCCCAAATCCCCCTGTGGGGGGACAGGCCCGACCTAATCCTGCCTCGCCCACCGCGCCGGCCACAGATTCGGAGGCGGGCATGGTCGCCGAGCGCGTTCCACTACTCGCAAATTGCCTACTCGCAAACATCCGAGAACCATACGTTTGCCTTCATGTGATATATCGCAAATTCCCTGAAGCGGATCCATGCCATTTGCAAGTAGTTACTTTGCTTCGGATGCAACTCCTGGGAGGTATAATTTTGATTTTGTCCTGATCCGAAATCCGGATTGATCTAGCTCGATCCCGCTTAATCCGTCTGAATCCCGCTTAATACGGCTTAATCCTGTTTAGTCCGAGGCCAGACCCGCACGAGCACGCCCGCCACCGCTGGCGCACACTGGCGCAAGCAGCCTCCCCGCTTCCCCTCCTCCTCCTCGTCCTCCTCCTCCTCCTCCTCCTCCTCCTCCTCCTCCTCCTCCTCCTCCTCCTCCTCCCCCCCTCCCCCTCCCCCTCCCCCTCCTCCCCCTCACCCTCCCCCCCTCTTCCTCCTCCGCTTCCTCCCCCTCGCCCTCTCCCCCCCTGTCCCATCCTCCCGCTTCTTTTGTGTATTGTTTCGCCGGTAGGCACGGGTTCCTATGCCCCCCCCGCCCTCCCCCCCCCTCCCCATGGGGCCAAATCTCGCCTGCTCCTGCCAGCTGCTTCTGGCGACTGGTCAGGACCCCTTCCCCCAATCTGCTGGCGCGATTGGCAAAAAGCAGATTGATGAAACACCGGCCCAGATCCAGACCCCCGGCCCTCCCCCAACCGTCGGCCAAATGTCGGGGGACCGTAAGACTCGAGTAAACCGGAACTCGGGTTTGCCGACGTTTTTTGACGAGCGCGCCCTGGATTTTGACGGTCCCGTTTTCGTGGCATTTTTGCAGCGGGAGGTCGCGTCAAATTTCAGATGAGGCCTCGTCATTTTTGTTATGGCCCCGTCAGGCCAACCCGAGTCCCCCGTACCTTAGTCTTACGTCTCCCCGAAAATGTCGAAACACAGAATTGGAAAACGGACACCATTATTTGATCCACCCAAGGGAGAACACGTGTTACCCCCCCCCTGCCCCCCTTCCCCCCCGCTCTCGTAACGGTAACGCCCCGGCCCGGTCCAGCGCGCGATCTTTGGCAGCCTATGGCCTGTGGTGCACGCAGGCACTACTAGTGCCGCGGTGCACACGGGCGTGCAATATGGTGTACGCAGGCACTGCAGTGTACACGGGCGCGTTGTGGCGCACACATCTGCTGCTGCAGCAGCAGCTGTGGTGTACACCCATGATGCAGCAGCAGCTGTGGTGTACACAGGCATCGTGGGTGTACGCTAACATTGTGGTGTGCACATCACAAGCCCTGTGGTGTACACAGGCGCCGTGATGTACACAAACGATGTAGTGCGCAAAGTCGCTATGATGTAAGCGTGCGTTGTGGGCTAGAATGTGCCCACGCATCTATTCCTATTGTTTCCTCCTCCTCCCTCTTCATTTTCGTTGTCGTCGTCGCGCTTGCGCATACAGGACGCGGGCATTGATGATGAGGATGAGGATGAGGATGAGCAGGAGGAGGAGGAGGAGGAGGAGGAGGAATAATGATATAGCTGTGCGCAGGCTGTGCGTGGCGCATCCCGCAGATTGGTTTGCGGTCTCGTGCAAGGATTTCTGCAACGAGCTTCTCTTAGATGATGGCGTGCATCTTGGCAGCGCTCTTGGAGAGAGTGCGCGGGCCCCGAGCTGTCGACCCCATCGCGGGGTTCCTCTTACTCCTCCTGCTCCTCCTGCTGGTGCTGCTGCTCCGCCTCGGCGGGCGCCTGCCCGCGCGCCCCCGAGCCGCGCGGCGTTCACGGGTGCCGTGGCGCGCGCAGTTGCCATGACGAATTCAGTCGTCATGGCTAATAAGCATCATATTATTAAGGGGATTTTACGAGTACTATCAAGGAGAGGATGACGATTCAGAATAATGATATTTAAACGAAGAAGAAGGCTCATACACTTATCACTTAAATCATAATTAATGGCGCACGCAGGTGTTGTGGGCCCAACCTTTTCGAGCGTTCCTTGGGCGAGGCAAAACAACTACTCACAGTCCATTCGGGCCCCCAACGATTTTCCGGAATGTGGTCCCGTCCGCGTCTTCAGGGGCATAGAAGCTTCGCGGCGCACGCAGGCGCAGTGCTGCAAAGGGGGCGCTGGCTGAAACAGCACAGCAACTGCGGTGCACGGAGGCGCCGTGGTGCGGGCAAACAATGTGATGTACAAAGGTGCTGTGGCGCACGCGGCTGTTATGTTGTATGCAGTCGCCGTGGTGCACACCCACACGCACGCAATTTTGATTACAGTCACGATGCACGAAGGCATTGTGGTGCACCTGCCCGCGCTGCGAACACAGGCGCGGTGGGCGTGGACGACGACGACGACGACGACGACGACGACGACGACGACGACGACGACGACGGCGGCGGCGGCGGCGGCGGCGACGACGGCGGCGATGACAACGACGACGACGTAGGCGGCGCGCCTTGGGGGGCGCGCGCCGCGGCCCCCTTTTACTGTCACCCCCCCAAACCCGCGTACCCCGCCCCCGTCCCCAGGGCAACACGCCTTACAGTCAAAAAACCGAAGAAGGACGCGCGATTTTGCTCAGGGTACCCTTGCGTCCTTGTTCTTCCTTGCTCTTGCGACTCGTCCTTGGCCTCTTTCGCTTGCCCGCTCTTTCGCTTGCCCGTCCAAAAAATCTCAACTTCGGTTTCCAAGGGTCTTGCGTCCTGACCGCGCGTCCGTATTAGGGTTGTTCACTGTATCCTCCAGGAACTTAAGACGGCCCCACGCTTATCTGCAATGCAATGTTCCGCAGTTCGTTCGCTCGTTCTTTCCTCTCCGTACCTCTTGGCTTATGTTGTTCCTCCCCCCCCCGCGACCGCCGTGCGCGGGGGAAGAGGGCTCGATGGCTGCAGCTGGACAATCTGAAAATCCACAGTTCCGAGTTTCGACGAGGACCGAGAAGGAGGCGGAGCAAAAGCAGAAGCGACGATGACAACGACGAGGGTGACAAGAAGAACGAGTGGAGCGTGGATGGCGCCATCCATGACGTCCAGGGTCCAGTCGTTCTTCTTGCGTCCCTCCCCCCGGTATCCCTCGTTCCCTCCGCTCTTCCCCCTCATTTCCCTCCGCTTCTCGCCTTAGGCAATTGTTTCCTCCTCTACTTTCCCTTTTCCCGCATCATTCGTATGCTGGTGATGCTCGCCATCATCATCACCATCACCCTCGTTCCACAACATTCCAGAGCAGAAGCTCCGTTACCTTAGCACTTGGCAGTGGGATGTAAGGAACGCGGCGTTTGGTTCATTATCCTCATCATCACCATAATCAGCAGCATCCGCATCGTCACCATCTTCAGCACCAGCATCATCATCATTAGCAGCAGCAGCAGCAGCAGCAGAAGCAGCAGAAGCAGCAGACGCAGCAGAAGCAACATCAGCATCAGCATCATACGACGAGTCATCATATTCGTACGGGTAGTAAGACTAATGATAATAATGAGAACAAGCAGATTACTACGAACACGTAGAAGATATCAGCACCACGACTAATAGCCATAATAATAGTAGTACGATTAATATTAAGAAGAAGAAGACGAAGAAGACGGAGGATAGCAATAATAATACCACTATCACTACAAACGTTACTTATCAGCATCAGCAGCATTATCCTCCTCATCATCAGCATCATCATCGTTATCATCAGCATCCTCACCGTCACCGTCACCATCCTCACAGTAATCACCATCGTAATAATCATCGCCACCATCGTCGCCATGATCAGCATCACCACCCTCGCCATCACGACCATCATCATCCACAGCTTCTAGAACCCAGCGAAATCCACAAGCGACATGGGGAGGGGGGGGGAGGGAGTGGACCGGGCTGAGGAACCCGGAGTGGCCAAGGGAATCCATCCACTTTCCATAGCGTTTCCTCTTTCTTCTTCTTGCCCCTTTTCCTCTTCCAGCCTCTGTTTCTCCTCCTTCTTTCCCTCCTCCTCCTCCATCTCCTTCATCCCCCGCCCAGGCGGGGCGAGGAAGAGGAAGAGGAAGAGGAGGGCGGGGGAGGAGGAGGAGGAGGAGGAATAGGAGGAGGAAGAGGAAGAGGAAGAGAAGGGAGGAGGAGGAGGAGGAGGAGGAGGAGGGCGAGGAGGCAGAGGAATCAGTCCTCCGTCCTCTCCGTCCTCTTACCCTCGCCTCCCCAGCGCAGGCCGCCGCGGCGACGACGACGACGGCCTCAGACCTGCTACGCAGAGTCTTGTTCGAGACGGCGCCCGAGTGCTCCGAAATAACGGTTCTTGACCACGCTTGGAGTATGTCAAAACCTCCTCTTCCTCCTCCTTCCCCTCATCCTCCCCTCCCCTCCTCCTCCCCCTCCTCATCCCCTTTTCCTCCCCCCCCTCTCCGGTTCTCTGAAGTGAAAGTCGAAGGGGGGGCTTCGGACCCCCCCTTCTCGCCGACGGCGCCTGGCGCCTGCAAACGACGACGACAACGACATGTCCCGCCCGCCTGACCTGCGGATACGCCAGCAGACGACGACGTTGATGACGGCGACGACGGCGACGCCGACGGCGACGGCGACGGCGACGGCGGCGGCGGCGGCGATGGCGGCGGCGGCGACGGAGACGGCGACGGCGACGACGGGCGCAGTGGGCGCTCTCACGGACCTTGGGCCGGCACTCAGCCTTGGGGCGTTTATTCTAGGCCTCCCAAATGGGGTCGGAGTACATGATGGGGTCGGAGGATCGCGCCGCATCGCCGATGCATCGGCGATGCGGCTCGATGTGGAGCCCGCTCTTCTCCACGCCGACGTCACCGGTGCATCGCCGCCGTCGCCGGGTGCATCGCCGAAGTCGCCGGTGCGTCGCCGATGCATCGCCGATGCCTCGCCGATGCATCGACGATGCGGCGCGACCCTCCGGCCCCATAGGCTCTGGCTCTATTTGGGAGGCGTCTGTTTCTTGACGGCGCCCCGCCCCGAGCGCGCATCCCACGCAGGGGCGGAGCGGAGCACGACGTCGGAGCTTCGACGAGGAGGAGGAGGAGGAGAAGGAGGAGGAGGAGGAGGAGGAGGAGGAGGAGGAGGGGGGGAGGAGGAGGAGGAGGAGGAGGAGGAGGAGGAGGAGGAGGAGGAGGAGGAGGAGGACCCCCGAGGCCGACGGCTCCGCGCCCCGCCGCCACCCGCCCGGAGGACGACGGCCCGGCGCCCAGCCCCGAGGGCTCCCCGGCAGGGGCGGACTACCAGACGCCGACCAGCGCAGGCTCCGCCGCCGCGCTCCAGGAGGTTCGAGGGCACTCCAGATTTCGTAATAAAGGGAGGGGGTCTCATTTAGGGGAGGAGGAGGAGGAGGAGGAGGAGGAGGAGGAGGAGGAGGAGGAGGAGGCGACGAGAGGGGCTAATAGCAATCAGAGGGGCGGGCAATCAGAGGACAGCCCAGGGGGGAGCAATGCACGTACTCCAGATTTCGTAATAAAGGGAGGGGGGTCTCATTTAAGAGGGGGGGTCTCTTCCAGGCTATCCTGGAGGGCATGGGGGGGTCCGGGGACGATGTTTTGGAGGGTTCTCCCACGGGGGAGGTCTGAAACGGCCTGTCTTGGAGGGTCCAGACCCCCTCCCTTTTATTACGAAATCTGGAGTACGGGTTTTGCTTTCGGGTTGTTGTTGATGAGAGTGGCGCCTTCCCACTCCAGGAGTGGAGTGGTCTTCCCTCTTCCTCCTCTTCAGGGGGTTGGGCGGAAACCCAAATCTACGTCCAACGCCTTCCTACTTCATGTTCCTACCCACTGCTTCTGACCGACGGATACGTAGTATGGACCTGCGTAACAAGACTATCACTAGTCAGAATAGCATAATACGAGCACTCAGACATAATAATAACAGTATACATTGTGAGCAACACCATCACAATCACAATGATGATAATCACACCAATGATAGTCATAGTAGTACGAATCACCATCATCATCATCATCAGCAGCATCACCACCATCTCACTACACATAGCAATACTATGATTTTAAACAAGTTGTACGATAAATATGCTAGTGTAGCAATACCCAGAGTGTATAGTTTGCGACGTCGGATCCCGAGGTCCGAGACCAGAGAGAGGGAGGGGGGAAGCCAAGGCAACCAGAAGGACGCCATGTTCTGTCCGGCGTGTTTCTGCTCTTCTAGGTCTTCTCGGGCCGGGGGGGAGGAAGATTACACTGGCCAGTCGACCGACTGCCGGAAAATTTCGGGAAACACACACACACACACATTCGGGAGGATTACATTCGTTCCATTCGGACGGACCCTTGACTCCCATGTGCTCCCGCTCCGCTGAGAGGCCTCCAGTCCTCGAGGGGGACCAAGGGAGACAAGAGAAAAGGAGGAGGAGGAGGCCGAGGAGGAGGAGGCCCTGTTTTGACCTGTTGGGGCCCCTGTTGGTCAGCATGACATGCTTTGAACAAGATATGGGCGGTTATGGTATGGTATGGTCGGATCCATTCCGCTCCGAATGTCTGTACACTGTGTATGCGCCTGTATATAGATATGGATACATGTGTTTATATGTATGCGTATATATATATAAAGAATGCGCATACAAATGTGTATATATGTGTATATATATGTATATGTATATATACACATATATATATGTGTGCATGTGAGTGTGTGTGTGTGTGTGTTTGTGTGTGGTTGCGTGTGTGTTTGTGTGTTTTTGCGTGCGTGTGTGTGTTATCGTGTGCTATCCTGTGTTTGCGTGTTTGTGTGTTCGTGTCTTTATGTGTGCTTATGTGTGGTTATGTGTATGTGTCGTTGTGTGTTTCTGTGATTGTATGTGTCTTTGTTTCTATGTGTGTTTTTCTGCGCGTCTGTGGTTATGTTCGTCTGCGGTTCTGTGCGTCTGACATCTCTGGTTCTGTGTTTATGTGGTTATGTGGTCCTGTGGTTATAGGTTTATGTGTTTATGCGTTTGTGTGTATGTGTTTATGTGTTGAGTGTGTTTGTGTATGTGTGTTCGTTTGTGTGTGTGTGTTTGTGTGTGCGGTTGTGTGTGTGGTTGTGCGTGGTTGTGTGGGTGTGAGCGTTTGTGTGTGTTTGTATGTGTTTATTTGTGGTTGTGTGTGTGTTTGTGTGTGGTTTTGTGTGTGTTTGTGTGTGTGTGTTTCTGTGTGTGGTTGTGTGTGTTTGTATGTTTGCGTGCGCGCGTGTGTGTGTGTGTGTGTTTGTGTGTACGTGTGTGTGCGCGTGTGTGCGTGTATGCGTGTGTGCGACCGTGCGCGCGTGTGCGCGTGTGCGCGTGTGCGCGTGTGCGCGTGTCCGCGTGTGTGCGTGTGTGCGTGTGCGCGTGTGTGCGTGTGCGTGTGTGCGTGTGTGCGTGTGTGCGTGTGCGTGCGTGCGCGGGTGCGTGCATGCGCGTGTGCGCGTGAGTGTGTGCGCGTCCGCGCATCCGCGCGTGCGCGCGTGCGCGCGTGCGCGTGCGCGTGTGCGCGTGCACGTGCGCGTGCTTGTGCGCGTGCGCGTGCGTGCGCGTGTGCGTACGCCTGCGTGTGTGCGCGCGCGTGTGCGTGCGCGTGCGCGTGCGCATTCGCGTGCGTGTGCGTGTGCGTACGCGTGCGCGTGTGCGCGCGTGTGTGTGTGCGTGTGTACGTATGTGTGCACGTGTGTGCGTGTATGCGTGTGTGCGCACGTGCGCGCGTGTGCGCGTGTGCGCGTATGCGCGTCTGCGCGTCTGCGCGTGTGCGCGTGTGTGCGTGTGCGCGTGTGTGCGTGTGAGCGTGTGTGCGTGTGTTCGTGTGTGCGTGTGTGCGTGAGGGTGTGTAGATGCGTGGGTGTGTCGGTGTGGGTGTAGCTTTTTGTGTGCGTGTGCGTGTGGGTGTGGGTATGTTTGTGCGTGTGTGCGTGTGTGTGTGTGTTTGTGTGTGTGCGTGTGTATGTGTGCGTGCGCGCGTGAGTGTGTGCGTGTGTGTGTGTGTGTGCGTTGGTGCGTGTGTGGGCGTGTGTGCGTGTGTGTGTGCGTGTGTGCGTGTGTGCGTGGATGCGTCTGTGCGCGTGTGTGTGCGTGTGTGTGCGTGCTTGGTTGTGTGTGTGCGTGTGCGTGTGATTGTGCGTGTGTGTGTTGGTGTGTTTGTGTGTATGTGTGTGCCTGTGTGTATTGGTGTGTGTATTTGTGTGTGCTTGTGTGTGATTGTGTGTGTTTATGTGCTGTCGTGTGTGTGTGTGCGTGTGTGTGTGTGTGTGTGTGCGTGTTTATGTGCGTGCGTTTGCGTGTGTGTGTGTGTGTGTGTGTGTTTGTGTGTGTTTGTGTGGGTGTGTGTTTGTGTCTGGGTGTGTGTGTGCTCGTGCTTGTGTTTATGCGATTATGTGTTTATGTGTTTGCTGCGCTTGTTTCTGTTATTGTGTTTACGTGTGTTTGTGTGTTTGTGCGTGGGTGGGTGTGCGTGTGTGTCCGCATCCGTTTGGCTCAAGGCGTCCGGGGATCCCCCGTGCTCGAGGAGGCGCCCGACGCGCCGCTCGGGCCGCGCGCGGCCCCCTCTTGCGCGCCCCGCGGCGCCCGCGAGCGCCGCGCGCCCCGAACCGCGCCGCCCTGCACCATGCCCGCGCGCCCGCGCGGGCCCGGCGATGCGACGCGACCCAGCCCCCAGGACTGGATTGGCACGAGGATGTGCTCAACAGCCCGCTGTGCCGAGGAGTTCCCGCAGACCTCGGGCGGCGGAGCCGAGGCGCGACGGCCGGGCCGAGAGACCCTCGCCCCCCCTCGGGGTGGCCGCGCGCGCGAGGGGGCGGCCTGCCGGGCGTCCGACGAGGCATGTCGGTGTCTCGGCACCGCCCGGGCGCGTGCAGGTTCTCGGCCCGTGTCTTGGCATCGTCCGGACGTGTCTTGGCATCGCTCGGACGTCCGACGATGGCAGTGCTCTCGGCGAGGGCTATCGAGGAGCATCGTGGGTCATTCGGCAAGACAGGCACGCACGAAACTGAAGAATGCACAAGGAATGGACGTCCGAGCGAAGGCAATGTGCTTGAGCCAGCTTTTCGATCCTCGGCGGGCAGCGCTGCGGTCGATGCTCGCGGCGCCCGCGAGCGCCCCGACGCCCCGCGTCGGCCGCCAGCGCCGACGACGGCGGCGACGTCAAGTGCGCCAGACTACCCGCGGCCGGATCAATCCTTGGATCTTCCTCCACTCCACGCCTAGAGGAGCTCGCCGAGTGGCAGCCCGTGGAACGCACGCACGCGCAAGCGTGTTTTATATGTGTATATACGTTTGTCTGTCTGTCTGCGTGTGTCTGTCTGTCAGCATGTACGTATATATATACACATATATATATAAATATGCGCGTATCGCACGCGTGCACTCATGCGCGCGCGCGTTGTGAATGGTTCTGGCTGCTGGCACTCCAGACGCAGTAGAGGTTGTTCATCGCGTGGCTGGCGCTCTTCTAAGTCTTCCGTTGAGGTCGCTTCCGTTGGCGCCTACCCGCATCAACGCACACAGGCTACTCATGGCCTTCGTGGCTTACCACGCACGCAGTTCGTCATCTTGACCCCCACCTCGACGCGACGATATGGCTGTACTCCGAGAAGTATGCGCCGTTTGCCTACAAGCTGCGAGCGCGGCGTTCAGAATCTAAATCCGCAGTAACACTTCGATCACGATGTGAGCTGGCTGGGCCCAGCTCCAACGTCACACGCATTGCGCGCGCGGTGGTTATGTGGAATATGGTGTCATGCTACGTGGGCACGTGTCGTTTTTGCAGTTCTGGGCGGGGGGACAGGGGACAAGTATCGGGGGAGGTGGATCGATCGAGGATCAAGATTCTTAGGCTGCTTCCGGTTTTTTGCAGCCTCCAAGGGGCATGCCGTCGCCACATGCCACCGCGGCTGGACTCCCTGTCGGGCTTTTGGCCTCCCTGGACAGGCACGGGAAGGGCTTCAGTCAAGGGAGGAGGAGGAGAGGGCGACGACAACTTTTGGTGCGTTTTTGCTTGCCTGTGTTGCGGCGGTGCGCCTTGTGGTTAAAGCCGAGGGCCCAGTTCGATCCAGCCAGTGTGACTCGAAATCGATTTCGGCCGGCCCGGTCCGATTCGACTCGGGTACTTCGACGAGCCAATGCGCCCCGATGTGTGCATGGTGCCGTTGCGCGTGTAGGCGCAGCCGGTCCGATTCGGCCCTCCACGGGTTGGCGGCGCGCTCTCTGGAGAGTCCCCGACGGGTCCTTCGGAGAGGAACGGCAGCAGGAGGAGAGGGGACATTGACGACGAGGATTTCGGGGCAACCCAGGAGGGCCCCGAGACGCCTTCAGGAGTCCCAAGAGTCCTCCTCTTCCTCCTCCTGGACCTGAGCCATGATGCTCATGGGTCCTTTCGATTTGGGGTAATCTTAGCCCAACCCCAAATTGATGCCTGTTTGAGACAGCCCGCGCCACGAACCACCGAATCGGTTCCCGAACCTCATTCAGGCACACAGGGAACCACAAGAGGCCTCGAGGGCACACGTGCTATAAACCACTGATTCGGTGCGTTATTTGAGCCAGATAACCCAGTCACGTATCCAGCCCATCCGAAACAACTGATGGGTGCAATGGGCGCATCCTTATCGGGCGATGTGATGGCAAAGAGCGCGACCCGTTGTGGAAACTACATGGAGTGCCTACGCGTTGCAGGCATCGTTGGGCCAATGTGAGAGAACACCATCGAGCATAGAGAGAGATAGAAAAAAGAGAAAATGAAGGATGAGGATGGCCAAGAGAAGGAATGCGGCTTGAATGGTTGGCAACAACCAAAAAGTGTTATGTCCTGCTTGGGCCCTTGTAGGACAGCATTCCATCGAACAGTTCTACAAGTTTGAGAAAACGGCACCCGATGCAAGGATGACAGGGCCCCGGGAGGAGGGTAATATTGTGGTTATAGCTACAACCGCATTCCGCTGGACCCTCCGCAAGTTCATGGAAGTGACGGCGCGTGTTCCGTTGGAGGAAAATGGCATCAGTTGTACAGGTGGCAACCCCCAGGAAAGCGAGGTATAGTTCGGATGCTTTAGCATCGCACCCCGCTGGACCTCAAAAGCTCACGAAAGCGGCGACAATTGCGCGTCAGGCAGCACCCAGACAGAGGTTTGCTTGGCATCCCCGTAAGGCGGCATTTCACTGGACCTCCCATAAGCCCACGACAGTCGCGAAAGTTGCGCATGTGGCAGCCCGTTTGGGAGGCAAGGTCGAATCTGGATTTCCTTCGGACCGTCCTCTGCTGGACCTCCAAGGAGTTCACGGAAATGGCGGCAGCTGCGCTTCTAGCAAACTCTAATGTGGATCTCAACACCGCGCTTCGCAGGACCTCCCAAGAGATCACGAAAGTGACGGGAGTTGTGCAGGTGGCAGCTCCCAGGGAGGCGAGGTCTAGTTTGGACGGTTGTAAGGCGTCGCTCCGCTGGGCCTCCCAGGAGCTCACGGAAGCGGCGACGACATCGCAGTGGGAAGCCCCCAGGGAGGCGACAGAGAGCAGGGTAGGAGGCAGGTCGGGTGCAGGAAGCGGCGAGGAAGTCGGGGGCAGCGAGTGGGAGACAGGAGGGAGGTGGGAGGGGGAGAAGGCACTGAAGCTGCGAGCGTGTGCGCCCGGCGGCCTGGGCAAGAGAAGGGAGAACGCAGCGGTGTTTCATTCAGGCCGGGTGCCCAGCACGGAAGGGTTGGGAAAACGCGGAAGAGGCACAAGCAGACAATGGGCCAGAAGGTTCGACTTGATCCTTGAGCCCCACCTCTCGTCTGGGCCACGACCCACCGAGTCGGTCGGCTCCCGACCACACCCACGTGATGCCTGCCCGACCGGGTCGATGATGGGATTCCGCGTGAGGCCCAATGTGGTTTCTCGTCTATTCTGATCGCTGGGGCCGTCTCGTTGGCGTCTGGGTGCCCAGAGAGTTTCGGGAGGGTCCTCCTCCTCCGCCTCCTCCTCCTCCTGTGGCATGCAGCTGGACGCGGTGAGGATGAGGGTGGACCTTAGAACATTGAATACGGTAGGTTCACGCGGCGTTGACGCGCAGGCGACGCTGGCGAAGGCGTTCAAGGCTGAATTCTACGACGCGGAAGCACCGAGAAACGCGGTAGCGCCATTGGATCGGGGCCGCGATCGATTCAATGTTGAACGATAGACGCGGTGTCTAAAACCTTTGCGCGTGCCGACGCCGCACGAACTTTCCGTAGCCTAGACAAGGTTTCGACTTGCTGCAATTGCGTGTGGTGCCGAGGCTCTGGTCCTCTCCTGGAACACTGCGCGCTGCGGGAGAAGGAGGAGGGTGGAGCTGCATGTGGGTCACGATGCGTGTGAGGAGTATACCAGATTCTGGTGGGGATGGCATTCTAAGAGTGTCCGTGCCGGTGCCGCAGGCGGGACTCCACATGAGCACGAGCCACGGGTGGGGGGTGTCGAAATGGGTGGCGTGGCGCATGCGGTCGCGCCCGTTGGTGTCGCACCGGCGGCGCGGCGTCAGAGGGGGCACGATGCGTGCAGGGGAGGTGCTGAAAGAGGCGGGGGGCCGCGCGCGAAGACCCCCACTGGGGGCCGCAGTTGGAGCCCCCTGTGGGGGGCCAAAGCCGCGGGAGGGGTGTGCCGCAGGGGGTGCGCCGCGGTGGGCGGAGGCCCGCACGAGCGAGCCGCCGTTGGGACCCCGCGTGGAGCTCCCCGTGGGGTGCAATCCGTGCGCAGAGGCGTGCCGCTGTGGGCGGAGGCCCGCGCCGCGGTCATCTCCTCCTCCTCCTCCTCCTCCTCCTCCTCCTCCTCCTCATCCTCATCCTCCTCCTCCTCCTCCTCCTCCTCCTCCTCCTCCTCCTCCTCCTTCTCCTCCTCCTCCTCCTCCTCCTCCCTCCCCCACGAGGCGCGACGGCGAGGTGAATGAAGCCCCATTGCCCCACATCGGAACCATGCGTGGACCTCCCTTTCTGCTCCAGCATGAAGCACACGGGGCCTAAGAGGGCTCTAACCGATAATGTACGGCTCTCTCGTCCATCCCACCAGCGAGGCCTCTGGCCAGTGATGGTTCTTACGGCTCTCACCTACAACCCCCTGCGTGCTACTGGTGATAGGCTGATTGATATCGCTGAGGAGCTTGCCAACATCCAGATTGTGGGTTTGCCTGGTACTCAAAGAAAATCACCTCTCGACTCCCAGCACCAGGTGTTTCCGATCAAGAATCGCCTCTGTGTTGAGTCAGGGTGGAGGGCAGGAGGATTCTCTAACAAATCGGCAGGAGTTGCTGCACTTCTACCACCAGGCTGGCGCCAACGAGATGTCCGTCAGATATCTACGCCGCCGCCAGCCCTGCAGGGACGGGGTATCGCCATAGATTGTGGCAGAGGTGGGTGGAATGTTCTCATTCTCGTGCTCTACTTCCCTCCTCGTCCGTCCTCGGCATCCTCGCACCGCACGTACTTGTCCTGTTGTAAGCAGCTAGGCAAGTGGGCGCAATCTCAACTGCGAGGCCTGCCGAATCGAGTTCGCCCCATCGTGTTCGCCGATGTCAATGATGGAGTGGGGCTGACGAAGAAGGAGGGGGAGTGGGTGGAGGTGGAAACGGAGGCCGTCGGTCGTGTTCGTACTCGGGAGAGGCACGTGGGAGGAGGAGGGCAACAATTTCGCGAACTTCTCGAGTCGGCTGACCTCTTCTCCCCGACGACCCTTCGTGAATACGCTCCCACGTTTTACGGAAGTGGTGGATCGGCCTCTATGCTCGACCACATCGGCATACCATTAGTTTGGTGTGATGTTGTCCTTTGCGCGTCGCCTATTCATCAGATTGGGCGCCGACTTCAGGTCATCCCTTGTAAAGATCCCAGAGACCATTTACCAGTCTTGATTAAGATTGATATCCAGAGGTGGGGAGGTCAACAGGTTCGTAGTAATGGTACACCAGATGGGGTTGACAGGGAGGAGGTTAAGTGGGACAGGGACAAGATGATGCAAGGAGTTCGAGGGGGGCGGGTCCGTGAAGATTTTGTTCGGGATGTTGAGCGTGAGCTCGAAGAGGTCTGGCAAGCTGTACAGTCTGACATGCCGAAGCCAGATGATCTCATGCTGCAGTTAGACTCTGTCTTACGCCGTGTGGGCACACGACACTTCCAGCAGGCTCGCGTCAGACACTCTCCTTCCTCGCAGTCTTCCTTGTGTAGCCAGCGACTTGCACTGTTAGCTGAACGTCGACGATTACGTAATGAGCTAGGTGATTCTGAAGACTTTGAACGATGCTGTGAACGGTTGCGTGAACTCACTAAGCAATGCAAATCATTGTATCGACGACGACGTACGGCACGAAATGATCAGCTTGTGCAAGAGCTATGGGATGCATGGCGTGCTCGTGATCTCTCTCTTGTTCATCGTCTTTCGCTCAGAATTGCGGGCAGTCGTTTTGGACGTGCCAAGCGTGACTTGCATAAGCTCGACGGTGCTCTGCCTACGCCAGCGCAGTGGATGGAGGTGCGGGAGCAAGAGGGAGGAGATGGAGGTATGCAGGCTGTCCAGGGGGACTGGGAGGCCATGTGTATGCATCAGGACGCGCTGCTCACACCTGGAGGGGTCAATGATAGCAGTGCCAACGCTGCTTGTTCACGGGCCCTTCTGGATCTGGAATTGCTTCAGAAGTATTTTGCTCGGGCTCCGAAGCGACGGGGAGTTCCAGCGTGGTCCTTGCCTCTTGAGTTATGGCATATGTGCATAGGTAAGCCCACCGCTCATCGTGCTGAAGTGTCTCGGGCTGGACTTGGCTCGGATTTTAGGCAGACGGACGGCCAGTTCGCTAAGCTCCTCTTGCATCGGGTTCTAGCGTCTATTCGTGCCTGGGGCGTGCTGCCCAAGCTGTGGAACGTAAGTCAAGGCTTCGCCATACCTAAAGCCGCTATCGCTGGTCCCAGGGGAAAACGGGTGGTTCATGGGCTGGATCCTCATGGAAAGGGCTTTCTCGCTGGCATCCTCAAGGTGGGGCCCCAGTTCCAGAACTCTCACTGCGACCATGGGTTCTTGAGGCATCGGAGGCGGGAGGACGCGATTGCGGCCTGCATGATCACGGGCTGGAGGCCCACGAAGATAGGTGTTCATTGGTGCGATTCCTTGAAGGACCTCTCGAATGCGTTTGCGTCGCCGAAATGGTCATCCATGGACAGTGCTTGCACCGCGCTTGCTCAACCTGCTGATCGTCGTTTCTGTCGCCAAAGGTATCGCACGGCCGGGTGCATGTTACCCTCATCCGAGGGCTCAGTCCTCATCAAGCCTGGGTGTGGAGCGCTGCAGGGAGATCCGTTTGCTGTGGCCAGTTTTGTTCGTGTCTTTAAGCCGCCGATCGACAGGTGGATTGACCGTTGTCAAACTGATGATCCTGGCGAGAAGCTCTTGTGGGCTACACTTCCATCAGAGCTTGGGCTCACATCCTCACCAGTGTACCTTGGACTGCAGAAGTTCGCTGATGACTTGCTGAAAAAGATCGTGCTTGGCCCTCCTTTCAACCCTTATCAGATGGGGCAGAAGCTAGACCATAATGATCGAGTCCTGGACGAAGAGCTTCATGGTATAGGAGTCCGCCGTAACCAGAAAAAGCAAGAGGCGATCGTGTCGGTGCCCCCTAGCTGTCGGCGAGGCGCAGCTGCGGTGTTGAAAGCTCGGGACACCAAGATTGGCGACGCTGTCCGATATTTGGGCCCTCATATCACGCCGACCCAAAGTTTTAGCTCGGAACTTACTCGACGTATTGCTGCCATGAAGTCTTCGTTCTATAGGCTTGGACGGTTCTGGTTTCAGAAGGGAGTCCCAGTTCGGTGGAAGCGGTGCGTCATGCTGTGCCACATCGTCAATACTGCGTTGTCTGGTGTCGAGCCCTTCCTCCCCAGCCCCCAGCAGATCAGGACCCTGGAGTTCGCCATTGCTGCACTCGCTCGGAAGGCTATGCGAGGCGAGGCTAGCTGGGAGGATGCATTTGGTCGTCGTCGATCGCTTACTTCGAGGCAGGTTCTTGAATGGTGGAGGCTAGTACCTATATCGATTGAACTCCAAGTTCGGCGTCTTCGCTGGTGTCAGGCATGCCTAAAACGACCACATGCGCATGTTCAATATCTAGCCGCTATGCTAGGCAACATGAACGGGGAGGGGGTGTTCACGGACCAGGGGACGATACACTCGGAGGCAAATCCTTGGGCTAAACGGCTTCAGGACGATCTCATCACCCTTGCTCAATGGAGTGGAGACGCACATGGGATCTGGGAGCGGGTCGGGGGCTCTATCATTAAGCTATTCGAGTTTGAGAATGCTCGTGATTTTGTTCAGGTTGATGTGGGTATTCTTCGTAGCGCAGCCCAGACCCTCGAAGTACCTCCCCCTGGAGTCATTGAGGATTTTGAGGCCCTCGAAGCGGCGGCCCTGAACACAGAGTTCCCACATACCTGTCCCTGGCCCTCGTGCACGTCGTCGTTTTCCTCCAGGTCTGGGCTCGTGAACCACATCAGGCGCATCCACGGGACCGTCAAACTCTCTCAGGCCCTTACCAAATGTAATCAATGCATCGTCTGCCAGGGGACCTTCTGGGACCGAAAAACTGCGCAAAAACACCTGCACGGGTCCATCCTCCACGGCAGGTGCCTGAAAGGTAAGGCGACGACCCTTCGAGAGGTGCAGCCCCCTGAGGATCTTGCGTGTCGAGTCTGCGGCTCAAGTTTCCTGACGCTGGCTGAGTATAACCTTCACGCTCAGCTACACCTACCTGCCCAGCACGAGGTTTGTGATGTCCGAGGCCATGGAGCTGGAAATCCACGACGCCCCCGCGTGGCTGTTCCCACTGGGCAAGCGCAAGGGCGAGGGCGATGGCGGACAGGCCTCGAAGACGTTGGTCGTCGCGACTGGGGGTGCGGGAGGGGGCCGTGGAAGCGGCGACGGGCACGGTCGAGGTCACACGGACGCGACGGACGGCATCGACATGGCGACCTTCAAGTGGGTGGCGCGCCAGACCTTGGCCAACTCCCGAGCCATCGCCGATCTCGAGGCCAACGTAAACGACACCTTTCTTCTGGCCGAGGAGACGTGGCTGGCCAAGGCAGGCCTGCTAGCGAACGCGCAGTACACCAAGGCCGCCGCCGACCTCAAAGCCAAGGCCGCCTCAGACCCGCAGGTCGACACCTCGAGCCTCGGCCCGCCGTTCTTGGTCGTCTTCTTTCTCGTGATGTCGGAGATCCGCAAGCAGGCCGCGACGGGGATTCACAAGGAGGAGGTGGAGGCGTTCTGGCAGACGCACATCAAGGACAAGACGCCCGCCGAGCTCGCCATGATGGTCCGCACGATGTCGTTCCAGCAGCCCCGGGGCGAGAAGAGCAAGCGCATGGAGAAGATGGTCAAGCTGCGCCTTCACATCCTCACGGACACGGAGGGCGGTCGCAAGCTCAGCACCCTGATCTACCGCACGCTGTGCGAGCTGAACGCGCAGAAGCTGGTCGGGTCCGCGCCGCGGAGCCAGGGCGAGAGGGCAATCCAGAAGTGGCTCTCACGTTCGAAGTAGTGGACTGGAACGGCGAGATCATGAACTCCACATCGCCGATACCCCAGTTGTTGAGTGGCTCCTGTGATTCGGCTGGTGAATCTATGGCTGCATCATCTGGTGGTATGGCAACATCCACTTCGCAGTTGCCTACGATACCTCCGTTTTTGAATGGCTCTGATTCGGTACGTGAATCTGTGGCTGTGCTTTCTGGTGGTATCCCAACACCCTCTTCGCAGTTGCCTACGATACCTCAAAGTTTGAATGGCTCTGATTCTGCTGGACCTTCTGTGGCCGTGCCTTTTGGTGGTATTCGGACATCAACTTCGCAGTTGCCACAGATACCTCAGGTTTTGAATGGCTCTGATTCCAGCAGATTCTCAGTGCGAGCTACCGCGTCGAGTACAGCTACTCCTGAGGCGGGTGACGCTGCCGCTGCCTCCGCACCTAGCTTTTCCTCCTCTTCCTCCTTTTTCTTGGGTCAACCCTCCCCGCTCCAGCTTCCCCCGATGCTTGCCTCGTCTGCTCGCCTCGCCGCTCTCGTGTCTAGAGGTCTCGTCCGAGACATCCGTGCCACTGGAGGAGATCGGTTTGTGGGGAGTGTGGGTGGGTCGGAGGCGGGTGGGGAGGGAGAGGCTGACAGGCTCTCGGCCGCCGCCGCAGATCGCGCAGTTGGACGCGACGACTCGGTGGCCGAGGTCAGGCGCGCCCGACCGCCTCCGAAGAGGGGGGTCCCGTCGCGTCGCCGTGCAGGAAACTAGTCTACTGGTGCCCGCAGGCACCCCTTGGAGGGCAATCCCTCCCCACAGGGGCTTGCCTCGGGGCCCGACGGGGGCCCTCCCTCCTGCGGAGGCCTCTCGTTTCAAAATCACGGATGTTTTCACGGCCACGCTGCCGTCGCAGGGATGAGTTTTATCCAGGGTGAGCCTGCTCAGGTAGGCCTTTGACTGATAGCTTGACAACGTCCCCAGCGGTTCAGATCAGATCAGATCCTCCTCCTCTCCTCCTCCTCCTCCTCCTCCTCCCTCCTCCTCCTCCTCCTCCTCCTCCTCCCTCCTCTCCTCCCCCTCCCCCTTCTCCCTCCCTCCCTCCTCCCCTCCTCCTCCATCCTCCTCTGCTCCGGCGCTGGGCGGAGGCCCGCGCCGCGGTCATCTCCCCTCCTCTCCTCCTCCTCCTCCACCTCTTCCTCCTCCTCCTCCTCCTCCTCCTTTTCTTCCTCCTCCTCCTCCTCCTCCTCCACCTCCCCCTCCTTCCTCCTTCCTCCTCCTCCTCCTCTCCTCCTCATCCTCATCCTCCTCCTCCTCCTCCTCCTCCTCCTCCTCCTTCTCCTCCTCCTCCTCCTCCTCCTCCCTCCCCCACGAGGCGCGACGGCGAGGTGAATGAAGCCCCATTGCCCCACATCGGAACCATGCGTGGACCTCCCTGCCGTGTGAGAGCTCTGCGGCGGCAAAAAGTCCGAGCCCGACTCGCCGATCCACGAAAAACACCAGCAACGGTCGGCGAGCAGGCGTTTGTCCAGGTTCGGCCCCTGGGGGCCGCTGTCGGGCCCCAGGGCCGTCAGAAACGGGTGCGTGGTGAAGAACGGCGCCGTATGGGCCCCGGGAGGGTCCGGGGACCGATTTTGAGAGGATTTGTCGGGGGTGGACAGAACCCCCAACAGTGACACGTCGATGAGTGAATTGTCCGTTTTCGGTTCTCGAGAGGGCGCCGTGGCCGTCATTTTCCAGGCTTGCGCCCGCCAGGTTTGGGCCTCGGGTCGTTTTCACTAAACCACGTTTTACTAAAGGGAGGTCTGTCCATCCCCGAATTTGGCATCGTCGCCCTACCGCCGATGACCGATCCAGGCAGCTCCATGGGTGGCGGGGCGGGGTTCGGAAGGCGTCGGACACGTGGCGAAGTCCGAGCCCGACCCCCGCCTCCCCTCGATTCAGGAGAACCGATGCTTGGTGGCGGCAGGGTCCGGACGTCCTTGCCCGGGCGTGCCGGAGGGGGCGAAGGCCCGCACTGTCGGGCGCCTCCAGCTTGGCCAGAGGCCGGCGGCAGCCCTGCCTCTCAGGCTCCCCCCGCGCCCGCGTGCGGCTCAGGCTGCCGAGCGGGCTCGTGGCCGAGCTGCCGCGCCATGGCGCCGCGGCGGGCAGCAAGGGATGGCCGCGTCGTACGAGCGCGCCGCGGTGGAGTGGTCCAGGGGCCTGCAGTGCTGCGGGCGCGCGAGGCCCCTGCTGGGTGAGGGCGCCGAGGTGCTGCCCATCGTCCTGTGTGCCGCGCTCGCGTGGCTGCTGCTGCAGCTGCTGGCCGTGCCACTCGGCCGCGCCGTGGCGCCGCAGTTTGTCCAGAGCGTGAGGGACACCGCGTGGAGCAAGGCGCGGTCGAAGAGCCACGCGCTAGCCGGCGACCCCGCGGAGGAGATGCTGGCGGCGGAGCGCGCCGCGCTCGCGGACGTGGGCGTGCGCGCCGCCGCCCTGGCCTTCAGCTGCTACGCGTGCTTCGGATCCGCACGCCTGCTGCTCGTGCCCCCCGAGAGCTTCGGGGCCGATCCTCTGTTCGCCTCTGACCCGGTCGCGCAGTACTACTGCGCCGTGGCCGCCGGCTACTTCGTGTGGGACGTTCCTGTCTGCATATGGTACGGATACGGGCCCGCGTTCATGGTGCACGCCGTCACGATGCTGCTGGTGGAATTCACCGCCCTGCACCCCTTCTATCAGTCGATCATGACGACGGCTCACCTGTTCGAGCTGAGCACGCCCTTCCTCCACTTCAGACAGTTTTGCATCGCCTCTGGCAGAACAGACTCCAGGCTCTTCCTGGCGTCGAACGTGGCTTTTTCGCTGACATTCTTTTTTGTTCGGATTGTTTATGGCTACCCGATATCCTTCCAGTTCGTCTACAGGGTGGTTTCCGACCTCGGCGGTGGCAGTTCCCAGATCCTCGAGAGGAAGGGGGTGTTGTTTGTGCCCGCCGCCTGGTTTTCCGTCTGCATGTGCTGTGCGCTCTGCGTGCTCAACGGCTTCTGGTTCTCCCAGATCGTGCAGAGCGTGCTGAGGCACGCCAGGGATGCTGGAGCGGATGGCGCTGCAGCTGCAGGAGCCTCCAGAGCGAAATTGTCCAGACCGTCGGGGGCGAGCTGTGCGGAGGTCCCTGAAGGAGTAGAGATGCAGAGTTTCACTCGGCTGACGCCCCGTCCGTCGATCTCCCGGTATCTTGAGACTGCGGTCCGCCGACCCCCCTGTGTTTTGAGACGCGCCTTGGGCCTGTCGTGTTGGGGCGACTCGCACGCGGGGAAGGTGCAGCGGGACGCCCCGCCCACATCGGTCCGCTGATCCCCCGACCAAGATCTCCACACATCCGGTTGTTCTTGGCTTGTCGCCGACGTGTGAGACCACATCGACGTCCTCGGGCGCCGGCGGCGGCTCGTTCCCAGACGGGGTCAGAGCTGATGGGGCAGGTGGATCGCGCCGCATCGCCGACGCATCGGCGATGCGGCGCGAAGCAGAGCCCGATGTGCTCGACGCCGACGTCACCGATGCATCGCTGGCGTCGCCGAGGCATCGGGGATGTAGCGACGGCGCTGCGCGATCCCCCGACCCTGACTGCTCCGACCCCAGCTGGGAGGCGCCCGGCTGTCGGACCCCTGGATCCCAATCTGCATCCCTCTTCCACGCCGCAAGGATCGGGTCGGGCGAAAGGGGGGGTTTGGGAAAGGGGGGGTTACGAAATCTGCTGCATGCAGCTGGTTTCGGCCCGACCGAGGGGCCCATTCCTCGATACATGGGCGCCTCCCGGCGCCGGGAGGCGCCGGGAAAATCAGCTACGTGAGCTGATTCTCAAACCCCCCCTTTGCTATCCCCCCCTTTCGCCCGACCCGAAAGGAGTCCTGGCCTCCTGGCTGGACCGCGCATCGCTCCGGCGGGCAGAGGCCCGATCCACATCAGCCGCCCACGCACTGCTCGTCGAGGAAGCGCCAACGCGGATTCGGGCGCGTGGCGTCGCGGCGGGCCCCGCTCCCACGG